TTATAATTGTTTAAAAAAAAAACAAAAAAACGACCTTACTGCATGGATGGTACTGGTTGTGACCCCCAAACCAGGTATTTTAAAACAGATAGATAGATAGATAGATAGATAGATAGATAGATAGATAGATAGATAGATAGATAGATAGATAGATAGATAGATAGATAGATTCATATCATATTTCAGCTACATTTAAAAATCTTAGCTATCTATGTCTTCTACAGAAATATTGGTTTTTAAAAAATAATCAAAAGGTGACTTGAAAATAGCCTAAACGAGTTTATGCATTGAAAATTCTACTTTTGGACAATAAAAGCATACACTCTTTTGTAGTTTCCTCAACAGGGAGATACATTTGGCGGTGACGCACACACAGTAGCAAGTGTTAAATATTTTAAATTGCTACTTAAGTCACAGAAATGAAAGGGGAAAACACACTTACAATGAATCAAAGGCAGAAGATAAGCGAGGATCGAGAGTGCGCGACTCATGTTTACGGTACCATCTGGTCCGTCGTCAGTGATGAAGACTCAAAGCTGCGCTGTTCCGTAGCAAAGCTTTCGGACATGCCGGATTCTACAAGCGTGAGATTTAGTCACTTTATCATCACAGCGCGGTGTCTCCTGTCACATAGTGAAGTTCTTTCGTAACAATCCAGCTTTGAAATCCACTAAAGCCCCCATTTGGGACCACAGCGGCAACCAGGACTTTGCCCTCCGCCAAAAAGGATCAACCTGCTCTAGTGCGCTGCTGCTCTCACTTGCAACTCATCCAGATCGCCTGTCCTGTGCCGCTGCCTGTAACCGATCTGTGATCAGTTACTTCAAGTTTACACCAGCTCTGGAGCGATTTCAGATAATAGGTAATTAGAGGGCAGTTATATTGAACCAGTAATGTCAGCATAACGACCCAAATGTATTTATTTAATCTCTGTTTCACCTGCGCCCTAATTAATAGGCTCCATGTTAGTCAGTATCTCCGCGAATTACAGGAAAAACATACTCAAAGAAACCTTTTTTCATCTTTTAAAGATTAAAGCTTTTCCGCAGACAGAAGCATGAGGGGAAAATAGGCTGATTTCAGCATTCACACCTATGTGACTAACAGCACTAATAGTCTCAGTCAGTCTCAGTAATATTTTCTCAAGCATCCAACTACAGATGTTGATATTTTGGACTTAATACTCTTCCAAACCCGCAACATAATTTGACAGTGTCGGTGTCGTGGGATCATTTGCTGACTTCGCGCTGCACTGGCGACTGTGCGGAAGAGCCGTAAATTATTCTCCGGTTCTGTGTGTGAGATTTACCGAGGTGAGGTCCAGTCAGATCTGAAGCAATGCAATCTTAGCGTAGCAGATTTACAGTCACCGAGCTGCTTAAAGCCTCATTATAATGACCAGCAAAGGAACTGTATCAGGCATGAAGAACAGCCCCAAGGACCATCCGAGGATTATAAATTTAAAGTCCAAAGACTTCTGGACTGGATCAGTGCAAGCAGATCAATAGGGCCTGATTAGGTTTTGACCCTCTCTTGTTTTTATCAGGCTGACGGGGAGAGGGCCATGGACTGAACAGTTTGTTCACTTGTTTTTATTAAATCATATGTTAGACCAAGTACACCAACTGTACATGCAGAAAATAAATGTTTTCTTAAATATCACACTTTGTATTCTGCACTGATACATTTCTGAAGTTTCACAATAGTGCTTTGATTGCTATTTTTTTCAGACAGAGACTTGAAACAATGCACTCTTGATCTTTTGACTAAGTGTGAACTTAGAGATGAATTACTAAACTAGAGAGCATGTTAAACTTATAAATGATGGTCACTGTGATATAATAGCTACCATAGCAAGTTTCAAGTGTACAAGTGCAAGTTTGTCTTCATAGTTAACGAAATTAACAAATAACAACGGCTGCAAGATAGAAATTAAATATTTTATTTTTATGTGATGAGGTTACGTTCATATTTAAATTAGCAGATATATCTTTGTGGAAATACACTACTTGGAAAGAAATTTTTCTGATGTAAAATGTACATATGTATATATGTATGTATATAACAGTTTAAAGTATATGCATTGATTTGCAAGCATAAAATATAAGTTTGTACTGTTTTACCTCAGTGAGTCTTTGTCCTTTTGTTAAACATGTTGATAAGGTCAAACTCTTCAGGTGATCTTTTCACATTTTTGCTGTTTTTTCTTTGCTCTTGCTTTCACTGTGGACTATGCTGTCCTGAAATGCAGCGAGGAAAAGAACACTGGAATAAATAAAGTTGAAATGGCAACATTTTATAAGCCATACCCTTGACCAATACATTCTCTTTTCATTACTACAGCTCACACTGTGGCATCAAAGACTGAACTAAACAGTCAATAGATATAACACCTTGACTCCAACTTAAATTTGAACTCTGACTCTAGACGCAACTGTAGACTTCGATAGTGTACTTTGAATATGCAAGGGACTGCAGTACATTCACATCACAAAAATGAACCATGAGCCATTTCATTTTGCAAATGGCCAACAACTTCATTATATTAAAAAGTGATGACAATTTACTGGGACACATTCTGAAATGCTCAATATTGATAATATAATTCCTTATTGGAGAGTAGGAAGGCTGTTTGGACACTGGATTTAAGCCAAGCCTCCCATCAATAATAGAATATCATCCATTATACTTGAATGGAAAAGAAGATAAATAAGTAATTAATTCCAAAATATTGTTTGCAGAAAGTAACACGGTTTTAGCACCATTCCAGGGTTTTCTTTACTTTTTAATTCAAGAAAAGAAAAAAAGAAAAAAAAGAAACTATTTTGTTAAGTACACAGAGTGAGTTCAGTTCAAAATGAATGTACTGCGTAATATGCAAGTTTCATTAAGTAGCTTAGAAGTCACACGTCAGAATAAATAAAAGAAATTGTAACAACTTTTTCATTTGTTTGATGTCAATGTCAGTCCTGGTCCAGTTTCTCAGAAGGTCTACTAAACAACAATATGTTTGCACATGTCACACCTTATGTGATGCAGGCATATAGACTATGTGGAAACCAAGTGAGATGTTGGCAGCTCCTTTTTACTAACTCCAATGATGAGGCCCTGGGGGGAAATCCTCTCTGGTGGTTGTGAGTCATTAAGTGCAAGGATTTATTTTACTTCAGAAAGCTAAAACATTTCAGTGGTTTAAATGCCACTAAGCAAAAGCCCAACCACAAAGAAAATAGCTTTGCCATTATACAATTCACTGCTTCAGCATTTGAACAAAAGTATACTTCTGAGATTTTTGTTCACATATTCTTTTTTAGGCACGCTAGTGACATGATTGTTTCAATGAAATATTTTCATAACTAACAAAGTGATTGTTTTGGCACAAATATCCATATCTGGCTCTGGATGCATTTTTGCAACTTTTCAGCTTGAAGAAACATCAAAACGTTAACTTCTCCAACATTCTAATATATGACCAACATTCCTAGAGGTACTTCTGTGTTTTCTACTAAAATATATGGTAAACAAATACAGCAGCAAAAGTATGTTAGCATTGTTGCTGTTAGCAGGGGTAAAAATATTTGGCAAGAAGAGCCTGTTACGATCTGGCCCGGAATGACCCCAAAGAGTTCCTAACAATGCTGCAGACTCCCATGCTAGTTTAACTTCTTAAAGATTTTTGCTTTTCGCAATATTTTTGCATGTGTGTACAAAATGAAGATTTAAAAAGTAAAAGTTAATTTAAGTTACATAAATTAGAAATACATACAAATGAATACTTTTATTTTTATTGCACAAAAGAGTGCAAGATAACAACATCTCTTTGCATCTCTTTTATCGGCCGCATGCCAACCCAAAGCTAACAAAGAACCCAGAGTGTTACTAAAACTCTGTGAATGCAGATCACAGCACAGCTGCTAGAGCCTGATCTTAAACAGGTAATAAAGGCAGTAATTAGACACAGGCTTGCAGGATAATGTAGCCTCCATTTTTACCTGGACACCGCATTTGCTCTGAAATGCATTTGTTCTTAACTTTGCTTTGGATTTATGATCAATCTCAAAGAAGTATTGCATGTATGTCTTCATTAGAATATGAATTAACGACAGTGTGTGGGACTGTAGCCTAGGGTCTACATAAGTGTTAAATGTTAAATATGTGACAATTCAGGCCATGCTGACAAATTGTTGTAATGTGGAAGTACTGTAATGTGTAACAAATTACTTTCTCTGTGGAGTAATTAAATAGATTAGAAAATTGGTATCTAAGAAAATCTGAGGGGTTTACATTAGTGTGGAGTTTAAAAGAAATTAGTAGAATAAGTAAATAAGTTTTGCAGGTAATCAGCACTTTTAACACTTTGGAATTATAATGTTTTATATATATTATATATTTTATATATATAATATATTATAATTTCTTAAAATAAATTAGTAGAATAAGTAAATACGTTTTGCAGGTAATCAGCACTTTTAACACTTCACTGGTTATTCCTGGCTGGTTCAACCATTGTAGGAAAGTCATTAAACAGATAAAGATGAAGTAGCTTTTGACTCATTTTACATGGGCTTTGGGCACAAATTCTCCATTTACATCAAAAGAAAAAGAGCTCAGGAATCCCTAAGCTTTGAACTTGGTTTTATAACTACAGCCTCATGTTTTCCCAACGTTATACAGAAGGTAAGCATTTAAGATTTTAGATTAAGGATGCAAAATAAAAACAAGTAAATTAAAATAAAGCTTCCCTCTGACACAGTTGACTCTGCGATATTAAAATGTAATATGAGCTCTGTGAGCCCCATGACAGGTTGACAGTGAATATGTTGACACATCAGCAAACAGTAAGTGTATGTGAGTGAGAGACTTTCTGTGTGCCAGGGAAGCGTGATGGAAGAGAAATGCCTAATCAAAGAATTGCTGCTGTTGCAGTACCATGTTGCTCCACTGCAATCCCACTCCGTAAGGGATATATATCAAACAGGCAGTTCATTACCTGGAGTGCTTGGCTCCTCTACCAGAGTCTCAGCTTCATGTGAGGATATCGATTAACCACTTTCTTTGCCCTCAAAGGGATCAGCTCATCTGCATCTGCAAGGTGTTTTGGTGTTATGCTAATCTATGAATAAAGTTGAGTTTTTGGCCTGTCTGTTTGTGGCGGTCAGCCTTTGTGCATGCAGATATCTACACCGCATTTATGTAGATACACAAGTATCTTTACAAATGTATCAGAGGATGACATCATGCTATCATGCATCTTTCATTACACTTGCCATATCTTTGGTGTATATTCCGCAATATTGCTGGATTAAACAAATACTTTCAGTCTAAACTGAAAGCCTAAATCCCCCTTTAAAAAGTACTTAAGCCTCTTTTCCACTAGTAGCTACTCGACTCGAGTCAACTCGACTCTACTTAGTTTCAGTTGTTTTCCATTACAGCTGAGTACCGCGTAATGGGGTCATTATAGCAGTGTGGTCGAAAATGGTTGTATGTCCATTTTATGCGACACAAACACAACACAACAATGGAGGTCATCGAGGGGATGCTGCAAGTTTTCTTATGTTTTTTTTACATGCCAGTCTTTAAAATTCGAGAGTGGCCACTGGCATGCCTTTAGTGTTTAGAAATTTTTCTTGGTCTGAACCACTGAAAAACCGCAAAATAATTCTGTGTGGAAGCAAATACCTACCACACACTGACCACGAAATGAATTACT